TGAGTAATCACATTGATTAATTGTGCTCTAATGATCCATGACCTTGAATTCCAAGTGAAACGGTGAGCGCTGATTTGCAACCCTACTCAAATGCATAGATGCAAGTTCTTAAAAATTGTGGATAGGCGAAGTGCATGTTCATTCTTTGCGATGACTCCGAGATAGGAATGCACTCTACGTCTTTTTTCTTATTTTCAAAGGACGAAAAGGCCTGCCTCTCTCTCTTACATGTGTGTGTGTGTGTGTGTGTGTGTGTGTGTGTGTGTGTGTGTGTGTGTGTGTGTGTGTGTGTGTGTGTGTGTGTGTGTGTGTGTGTGTGTGTGTGTGTGTGTGTGTGTGTGTGTGTGTGTGTGTGTGTGTGTGTGTGTGTGTGTGTGTGTGTGTGTGTGTGTGTGTGTGTGTGTGTGTGTGTGTGTGTGTGTGTGTGTGTGTGTGTGTGTGTGTGTGTGTGTGTGTGTGTGTGTGTGTGTGTGTGTGTGTGTGTGTGTGTGTGTGTGTGTGTGTGTGTGTGTGTGTGTGTGTGTGTGTGTGTGTGTGTGTGTGTGTGTGTGTGTGTGTGTGTGTGTGTGTGTGTGTGTGTGTGTGTGTGTGTGTGTGTGTGTGTGTGTGTGTGTGTGTGTGTGTGCCGAATAGAAAATTCCATTTCTCAACCGATCCGGACCAAACTTGTCACACATACACTTCGGGCGGGGTTGGTATCATAGGCTATATTTCTTCATCGATCTTTATCATAGTCTCTTGACAGTCGAGCGGAGCCGGGTAAGCCAGTTAGTAAATGATACAAGAGAGATCTTATCGCATTGAGTTTGGAGGTGATTTTTGGGATGCACATACAGTAGATTTCCTGCTTAATATAGTGTCCCTGCAGACGCGACAACGCTGGGGCGTCAATAATTGCCTGACGAGTTCCCGAGCTAGTGTTTTCCAGTGTTTTCTTCGCTTATTCTATGCTTTTTAGGTGATTCGTTGCTGATAAGAAGAAAAGAGTAAATTGGAGAGTAGTTTCTGTTTTCTGAGAAGTTTCATCATCGCATATTCACAGATATCCACGTGGAAGCAGTTCGCGTCAGCTTCTTGTCTATTTTTTTGTCACTTCACATCTCTTTCTTTTTGTGAAGTACTTCTTTGAACGCTAGTGGGTTTTTACGATTGACTTATTGTCTTTATCACATGAAGTACTTGATTAAAATGCTATTTCTTATGGGTGAAAGCCGAAGTTGCTGCAAGACAAGCCAACTAGCGTTCAAAGAAACGCCTCACAAGAAGGAGGAGGTTTAAAAGAAGAAGAAGTAGCAGAAGAAAAGGAAATGACGAAAAGAATAGACAAGGAGCTGACGCGAAATGCTTCCATATGGATATCTGTGAATATGCGATGATAGAATTCTCAGAAAACAGAAACTACTCTCTAACTTACCTTTTCTTCTTTATCAGCAACGAATCAACTAAAAAGCATGAAAGCAAAGAAAACATTGGAAAACACTAGCTCGGGAACTCGCAAGGCAATTATTGACGCCCTAGCGTTGTCGCGTCTGCCAGGACACTATATTAAGCAGGAAATCTACTCGACTGTATGTAATGCGCTGATGTTCTAGCAATACATATCCATTTTCGCGCGCGATTTGTGATGCAAATTTTCGTGACTCAAGCTGCTCTTCGTGACCCGTGCACACCCCAACGAAGAAGTTTTTTTTCTTGATGTTATGAATAACCGCCTTTTTCATCCCTGCGGGGTAAGTCGATAGCATAAAACAAGGTGTTCTTAAAGCATTTTATACGGTACTATTTGACATGAGAACAAACACCACCGAAGAAGTTGATCTAAGCGTTAAGGTGTGAAAGCCGCCAGTTTTGTGGGGTTTTTCGAGTAAGCTTGATGTAAATGGACTGCTGCTTTAGTAACTCAAAACAATTTGAGATTGAGTTGACGTTATTACACAGCAGTCATCGATGTAACGACAGTACATCGGTGGTATACGCGCAAGCACTGGCTCCACAATTCTGCTCATAAAGCACACCGAAAGAACTGGTGTCATGCGCTGGCTCATCGCGAATCCTCGTACATGGGAGAAGTATCTTCCAATTTGAAGGCGTTACAATTTGAGCGTGCACGAGGGTCAGCACTTGCGTTTTACTCATCCAAATACTGATGGTCGTTATGTGCTTATCTGACATCTTCAAAAGAGCTTGTAATGCATCATTGTTACAAACGTACGGGAAGCTACTACATCGAAGGATTCCACACTAGGTTCAGACTTTATGTTGTGCAGTTGCATAGCTTGAACCTAGTGTCTTCATGGACTCTTTCGATACGATCGAAACGTATATTGGAGTATTGCCTTGCTTGTCCCTACGGTAGGATAGCGAATTGTACAAAGACAGGTATGGTGATGCATCTTATATATAAAGCTGAATGTCTGTTTGTCGGTCTGTCTCTATGTCTGTATGTATGTCTGTCTGTACGTATGTTCCGAATAGAAAATTTCGTTTCTGAACCGATCCGGACCAAACTTGGCACACATACACTTCGGGCCCCGGCGGGTGTCATAGGCTACTTTTCGTCATCGATCGATATCGATTTCATCGATTTTTATCGATTTTTTTGCAGAGTCCACCTACGGGGCTGGGAGTTTGCAGAGGGGGGTAATCGAGCATGGGGATTCCGAATACAATATTAGTTTTCAGGATTATCGATTACTTTTATCGATTTCATCGATTTTTTTTACAAAGATTGAGCTACGGGGCTGGGAGTTTGCATAGGGGGGTATTCGAGCATGGGGATTCCGAATACAATATTAGTTTTCAGGATTATCGATTACTTTTATCGATTTTATCGATTTTTTGCAAAGTTTAAGCTACGGGGCTGGGAGTTTGCACAGGGGGGTAATCGAGCATGCTGTTTACTAAAACAGCGGGAGTAGTGATTTGGCATGAAGGCGTGGGCACAGGGAAAGGTTCGTAAAGGAATAGAGATAGTGTTCTCTGACATAGTGTTTTGACAGGGCCGGGCGGAGACGGGTAAGCAAGCTAGTTAGCTATAATGTGTGACTTGCCATGAAATTTATCGGGAAAACGGGTAGAAATTAAGTATGAAATTAAAAGAGCATTTAGCCAGTAACATAAGAGGAACTCTAACAGCGCCGTTGGGGCGGCATAAGACTGAGGCACATTCGAAAATGATTATGAATTTGATGCACAAGCTTGACCTGTGAGACTGACACATGCGCCAGGAAAACTGAATGTCAAAAATGTGCGCTTGTTTAGTAGTAGTCAAGTTGGCCCCATTCATATGGGCTGCACATAAAAAGCCTTGGCTCTCTGAATGACAGATAGTGACGTCCGTTTCCATCAAATTTGCGCGCTTGTCGCTACTTAATGCATTCGTGTTTTGTTCGTTTTCTGGCTTTGAGCGGCACGCTCTGAGTCTCGGATTAGGTCTAGACCGACACAGTCGGGAGAGGCGCCTGAAGGTATGATGATCATGTCAATGCTGCAATCCGTTTTTGAAACTGACAATGTCGCCAATGACAAAAATGTAGGTCAATAAAGTCTAGCGCAAAATATGATTGGCATACGCAAAACTGACTGACACATCTCAAAATGACCAGATTCAAAACCCAGAATCTGGATGTATCGTAAGTTTTGGAAAGTATGTTGAGTACGCGTAAATTCTATCAGGGTTCTAACAGTAATGGGGCGCCTTGATTACTACAATCCTAAGGTTTTCTATTTAATAAAAAAAACAACCGAAAATGTAAACGCTTTTGCATATTATGATGTTGGCATAAAAGCACCCCGCAAACCCTCTCTCGAAATTATCCGAACAATTTCGAAGAACTCTGGCAGACTTTTTTGAACGCATCTGAATTACATCTGTTGTAACCCAAAGCCCTCAAAGTTACATACCATTTAGAAGTGCTTTCCAAGCTTTTTCTAACCGCTGTTCGATGTGCAAGTGGGTTGCATTTGGATAGGGCGTAGAAAGCTCTACCTAGTGCTTGACTCAGAGATGAGCATTCGATTAATTCGATAAGAAGAAAATATGTCTCTTCATACTCACTGCTATATCCGTTGTAAGAAGTCGGGACCAACAGGTTATCGTGGATTTGGTGATAGTTTCCTCGCATACTGCGGCAAAGATACTTTGGCAGCCTCACTTGTTTCTGTGGCTATGCTGTTCAAAATTTGAAAGTACTTGAACTGAAAAGCACTGATTTTGAGCGCCGATAAAATGATGTCATGCGACAGTGTCCATCTTTAGTGAGTAATCCAGAGGCTTTGATGTGTTCCAACATCTGCCAAAACTTGAGCAGACGATAATTTTTTTTTGTTTGAAGAAACTAAATTTGTTCTGGGTGCTCCATTACTTTTGGATCATCCAATACAATCCCAGTGTTTCCATTATGATTTGATATATTCTTCAACAAAGGGTAAATACAGTTAACAACTAATCACTCTCGTTTTAAGTGTGGCGATCGACATTATGCAAAATGTCTCGAGAATTTCTCAGCTCAAGCACTCTGTTCAGGTAGTACCGAGCGGAGTTTGAAGTGATGAAAAAATTGGAAAGATAAGTTTGTCATGTTATTAATAACAACTTCAGGCTGAAGATAGTGACAAGTAGAAGGTATTTGGTTGCGCTAAAATTTCTTGAATTGTTTTCAGCAGAGGTGTTTATTTAAAACGAAACGATTTCGATTCTGTCCAGTTTGGCAAAGGACGTGGTATATGACCCTTAGGCTGCGTTCATACTGATCCCAAAGTCCAAGAACAGTTCCAGCACAACGTTCAGTTCGAGCACTTTGCTGGAATTGGTCCCGGACTTCGGGATCGGTATGAGCGCAGCCTTAAAGTATGTTATTGTTTGCGATAGCATCGCCACATACCAAATACGCACAAGACTGAAGTCTTAGGGTGTGCGGTACCATCAAAGTCCGCCTAACCACTAGACCATATGCACACTCAGAATCCATCTCTCACTCGTTTATGATGTCAAAGGATGACATATGACAAAACAGGATCGTGCTGTGAAGTATCAAGCTTTCTTGGTATTCTTTGCCTTTTTTCCTTTGTCACTTTTGCCTTTCTTAGCGGATTTCAATCCAGGAATTGGCAAAGATACTCCCACAGAAACGATTGAACCTTTGTCACATCTTGAGCATTTGCACGTCTTTCGTGTCACTGTCTTTTTTCCTTCTTTGATTTTGGCTTTCACACAGTTACCAGTAGCACAGTTCTGAAAAATCACAAATGATCATGCAGAGTCGTTTATTTTGTTTCACTTATAAATACAATAACGCTCATAATTGTAGCAAAAAAGAAGCGAGGCTTACTTGAGTCAGCTGACATCACCGTAGCGTAACCATATCTCTCTTCAGAGTGGACGAATCTGAATTTTATGGCGCGCCGTATGATTTAGCTCGATGAGGGATATCTTCTGATATACACAGTGTTCCAAAAAATGTGTCTATTGTTGGTTTGTTTATAATTCTCTTGTTGAAGTATTTATAAAAGTTATAGGCAGCATTCTGTAAAGCAGCCTTCAGCTTAGATTTACAGTATAGAACGAATCAAGAATCTTTCTTGATTGCTGTAGAAATGCGGTGGGAACATAGATGCGATAGGTGGAGAATTTTCTCTGACTCCTTCACTTTAAGGCCGGCATCGGCCTTACCCCTTCCACCTGATTTTGAAACTAATAGAATAAAGGCATAACGGCAGAATTAAATCCCGCTTCACAAAAAAGATAGGATAAAATAGACGGTCTACGTCGATTCCTCTTGCTCTTAGCTATCTAATGGTATACATAGTGTTGGTGCACAAAGCTTTCCCAGTCCAAAAAAGTCTTGCTCCGGCGACCCATAGAAAGCAAGAGCCGGATGGAGCAAGTTAATACTAAATATCTCCACCTCATTTTTAAAAAGACACAAGTTTTTTCACCCAATAACCTATATACCTTTAGAAAGCTCACGAGACACGGATTCGACGGCTGAAAGTCAGCTGATACTGAAACTAGATATGATTTTTGATGTCTAATTTCAGGAGAGCTGAAAAAAAAAAGACTGTCTACGTCGATTCGTATGTTCCAAGCTTTCGAATGGTATGTCGAGATGAAACATAAAGCTTTCCTGAGTCAAAAACCGTCTCTGTTGGATAACCTTTCAAAGCCTAAGCATTGAGGAAATCTTTATATTACACCTCTGTACCACATATTTTCCTTCTTTTCACTCCGGCTCCCGTTAGACATGTAAGCTCGCGTCAACATTTATTTCAGGCCCAGTTACCCCCTTCACTTTTCTAGGTCAGAAATAACCAAAACCCCCTTCACCTGGAGAGGGACCCTGCTCCCCCTATCGCACCTATGGGTGGGAATTGCATCATAGCTACGGACGATCTGAGAAAAAATCTTTTTAAAAAATCTGAAAAGTTGTGCAAAACTTTTCAGGTTGTAGCAAGGTTTTCACGCATGCTAATTCCACTACACACATTTTTGCGCGCTCACAGGACTTCTTAAATGGCCTAATGAAATTTTTGATGAATAGCACAACTTTGATATATCTGGCACATTACAAAAAAGCGTTGCGGTGAAGTTGCGATTTCATGTCTGAAATCAGCGGCTCTGATTAATCTGGTCTAGCAGTTTCCAGCTTCTTTGTTCTTTTTTTAGAAGTGAAATATGATCCTTAATGACCCAAATCCTTCTCCAAATCCCCCTTCCCCCTGTAATCCCACAGTACTGAAAAGTGATCCTTGATTCGCACCATAGTAAGTCTCAAAGCCAGCTTTACGACATGCTACCCGACAAAAAACTTTATGACAGAGGATTGTTGATTATCAAGCAGCAGGCACATTTTTGGGCAGCCTGTATAGAGGTCCCTGTTTGGTCAGGTAGGCGCACACTAGGCAGCCAGATCCTTTCAATCAGTATTTTCAAATACTTGCCTACGGAAGGTTTCTCAGAGTACTTACTCATTGCACATTGACTAACCTACCTAAGCGATAAATCAATTTGTGAAATCCGGCTGCCTCCGTGCACATATGGTGCTTAATAAGGCGCCTCCATATATCACAAGAAGCGCCTCGAGCTCGAGCCGAATCGCATGGTGTTCTTGGGCTCAGATTCGTGCACTTCGAGGCAAGATATGGACGCTTGGTGCACCTAACCAAGGTGATTGACCGTCGCGTCTTTTTTGCAGAAATTATGAGCGGTATTGTAGTACTCCCCATTTGACTTCCCATAGATTTGAGCTAGTACATATCTCTTCAGCTTTTTTTCATAAGTTAATTTATGCAACATTATTTACGAGTCAGTCATCACTACTAATCACATTGATAAATCGAGCAATTTCCTCAGATCGCACCTACCCCATACTACCTTCATGATATTATCTGTCAAAATTGTATTTTATCTTCCTATTGGTGTGCTCTTATGAACCATCCCGCTAAAGGGAGACAGTTGACATTTTACGGTGTGTGTAAGAACAGTGTAAGGCCCGTATGCACCTACATTCTCGGGAAGGGGAGGAGGTCTGAAAGGGAACGCGTCATATCTCGCTATTCTAAGGCCGGTAGTTATCCCCTCTATCAGGTCACGCCTGCAGGTCGCTGGCACCTCGCCATGAGGTCGCTAAAAATTAAGATCCCAGATATAGACGCCTAAAGGATTTTCTCAACAAATGAAGTCCTGGATTAACCACCGCGACTTTTGAGAAACCTCTAAATTTGAAGCTCGAGGGTCTATAGAGTTACAGGATCTCCCTATAGTAAAATATCGGGAATGGCAGGAGGAGCTGCCGGCAACTCGTCAAAATTTGCGCGGTGGCAGCTGCCGGCAGGTTAGAGATCACCGGAAATAGCGTGCTCTCTCGAGAGATGCCTGCATCCCAACGTGCCCCTATCTACTACATCTCGTGCGTCTGTTTTGGGTAATGCAGCAATATCGTACAATTTACGTCAGGCGGAAGAATCAAAAATTTTCAATTTTTATCAAAACAATATCATTTTTCTCACTATATGAGTTTTGTTTCTTGAATGGTGGTATTCTTTTAGAAAAAAAAAAGTCTAGCAATATCTTAAAACCATCAAGTACAATATCTTTCTTGCAATCCCTTCTAAATCTCGTTTGCACTGGTTTCGCCTCTTTCTTGCTCGTATCAATCAGCTGTTCTTTCAGGTCAAAGTCTTTGAATCAATCATGCCTTCTTACAGGCTTACTTACTCGTGCATTTCTCCTATTGCTGGTGCAGACGACAATGATTGACAGAGTGGTTGAATGGTTAGCGCAATGGCACTTGAGGCCAAAGCGTTTAGGTTCAAAGACATTACGTCCACGTTTTGCGGCTGCTTGCGTCATCAAAATCTCATGTGCGGGATTGCCTACAAAGATTATATAGTGTGGACCCCGGCCAGTTTCCCATGGGTACCTCCGCGGCGCAACCACAGCGCGTGCATTTCTTGATGCTTCTCACCTCACTTATGAGCAATAGAGCACATCTACGCACCATAGAAGAGAATTGATAAGTGGAAACCCGTAAATACACTTCGAAGGAAACGTATACAAGAATAAAACGCACGCAACCTCCATTAGTACCTCGAACTCAATCAATGGCTGCACATTTCAGACTTGCATCGATGGAAAAGCGGTATTAAGTAAACGTAGAGCAGAAAAAGAACAACCGCATTCTCAAAACGTTTCTCTTCGTAAACTTAGAAACTAGAATGGTAAAATAATATCACAAGTTTAATTCGTAGACCACCGGCCCCGGAGAGACTTCACGCGATTTGATGGTCGCGATTGAATCGCGACAAGACAGCTGTTACAACCATTCTATGCCAATTTGCATTCGGTTGTGATACTTTTCCAGCCCGAAATTTTCGAATGTAAAATGGAAATGAATGGAAATCGCGTGAAGTCTATCCGGGGCCTTAGGCAGTAACAGACAAGGAAAGAAGTGCTTTGTTTGTTGTACCGCAGATCTATTATATTAGGTTGTCCCGAAAGTTTGTCGTTTTTTTTCAACAATCACTAAAACTCACAGAAAATCAATCGATGGATGTCTCAGTTGTCATTCCATTCAGATTTTTATCATCTTCCTTATGGCTGTATTTGCTGTCTGATCTAAGTTGTCTTTGCGATGTTCCCTACATGGCTTTTCGAGCAACTTAAAAGTAATGCGAAATTTCTTATACTTTCAAAGAGGGCTGGCAGCTGTCATATACAGGGTGTCCCAAAAAAATGTTAACACTGTTTGATCATTAGTAACTCCCTTGCTTTCATGTCTTTCGCCAAGCTTGAGGCACCATTGTGTAGAGCGAGGATCAACTTAGATTTGAAGTATGGAGCAAAACACCGTTTGCTCTTCGTTACTGTAGGATTACGGTAAGAACTTCCAGCATGTGGAACCGTTGTGAAATATGTCATGTGACAAAATTTTTTGCAAAAAACCTGAAAAATCGTGTACTAGGGTTTTCGCGCATGCTGATTCCATCTAACAACTTTTTACGAGTGTTTTCAGCTTTTTTGACGGTGTAATCACATTTTTGACACATGCTGGAAAGTCAGTTATTACACTTTACCTAGGATAACTTTGAAAAGAAGTATCATAATGAAGTGGAAATTTCATATCCGAAATCAGCGGCTTTCATCCCCATAGTACGAGAGATTTTGGCTTGTTTGGCTCTGTTTGGAAGCAGAATATGGCCTCTAATGGCTTAAAATCCATGTCGAAGTTCCTACCGTAATCCTACAGTAAGAAGGGCAATCGACGATTCGCCCCATATTGTAAATCTAAGTTTGTCCTCGCTCTACAAAACGGTATCTAAAGCTCGGCGAAAGACTTGAAAGCAAGAGAGTTATTAACGATCAAACAGTGTTAACATTTTTTTGGGACACCCTGTATATTGGTTTGGTGCAAAAGTAATGCTCGTTTTGCGAGTTCTCACTTTAACGTGCTCTAATTTTCTAAAACACATTTTTTGATGCAATGAAGATCATAAGAGGCAGCAAACCTTTCGCAATACAGCGGACATCCACTTATACTCATACCAAAAACGGACAGAAGAATGTCGCTTGATAAGCAAAAAAGTTTTCCCTGAAATCTCGTTACAGAAGAGGTTGGAAAGGGATTAAACAAAAAACATTCGCGAGAGAATAATTAAAATTCCAATTTGTCAGCTTTTTTCGATATGTTCTCGTAGCCTCAAAGTCTCAAATAAAGAGTTTTCTGATTTGCTGCA